TTTTCTTTCTAAAGGACAAGTCATTAGTTTCCAAAGCATTGAACATTATTTATGTTTTTTCCAAAGCATCTGGATTGAATATAAATATACAAAAAAGTGAAATACTACCATTATATCCGTGTACAGAAGCACAAATAATGTCCATTCCTGTGAAATCCAAAGTCAACTATCTCGGAATAAAATTAATGAAAGAAACAAAAACAAGAAAGGAAGAAAATATGAATGAAAAAATAGATAAAATGAAAAAGAAACTTAATCTCTGGCTAATGAGTTGTCCATTTTTGGTTGAAACCTACTATCAAAATCTGACGGGATATCAAATTTGATCTATCCATGTAGCTCAATGAATGTGTCTCCAAAAAACATCAAAAAAGCTAATTGTATAATATACAACTTTATATAAAGAAACAAAACGCATTATCTTAAAAAATCACAACTGGTTAAAGATTATGAAAAAGGAGGTCTGAAAACTGTAGATTTTGAATGAATGGTAGGGGTTTTAAAAATAAATTGGATAAAAGCTTTTATGTCACAGAAAGAATCCATCTGGTTTCATATCCAGAAAAATATTTTTAAGAAAGTCGGAGGGTTGGAATTCGTACTGAAATGTGATTATGAAATTAGGAAACTGCCAGTCAAATTATCTGAAATTCATAAACAGATATTACACATTTGGAAGATGATTTTTTTCACATAATTTTGCTCCACATGGCTCCACACTGTGGACAACAGAACTATAATGATAAATAGGAAAACAATATTTAAAGAAGTTTGGTTTGAAAAAAAAAGTGATCTTTGTTTCTGATCTAATGGATGAGCATGGAAATTTACTAAATTTTAATACTTTTAAAGAAAAATTTGGTATCCAATGTTCATACAAAGAATTTAACAAAGTATGCAAAATAAAACCTGCTGCTGTGCTGCATTTAATACGAAGCACTCTCTCTCAGTCAAAAATACAAGGAGTCTTGCCAGAACAAAAAATTGAGCAATTGCCTATTAGAGATAAAAAATTTAACAATCATTTTATAGGGACAGCATTTAAATGTAAAATCGTTCATAATTTTACTGGAATAACAAAAAAAAATATATAATGAATGATTCTGATAACAAAGAAACATATTTTAAATATTTAAAATGGCCAATTCCTCCAAAAGTAAATGACATACAATATAAAATTATTAATAGTTAGTATCCAACAGCAGAAACTCTTTTTGGATTTGAGGTGGATGCTTGTATATTTTGTCTCGAAAAACCAGAAACTATTGAACATCTCTTCTATTCGTGTGGAGTCACAGGTTGCTTTTGGCAAAACCTGCATATTTGGTTATATAACAAAATAAATAATATAACACCTTTTGAGAAAAATCAAATATTAATATACAAGAATGACATTCCGAAGGACTTATCTGATATGGTCAATATTGTTATAAGTATGGGAAGATATATACATGTATGTAAATGGAAAAATCAAAACCTTCAGAAACAAGTTTAAAAAACAAACTCTTCCACTCCTCTTTATCTCTGTTAGCTGAAAAATATGGACATACACAAAAGCTATGTAGTGACATGTCAAAATTTCTGGTTTTTGATCAGCAAAATGCTAAAGTTAACGTGATGTAAGGAACTGTCTTGTAGTAGAATGAGGCTGTCTCTTTTAAATTTACTATTTTTTTCTTAAGTTTTGTAGGTTTCCTTTGGTTGTAATAATAGTGCCTGTTTATTTATTTATTTATCTCTGTTGCCTTGCAATATTTAAGTTTATAATATATGTTGTCTTCTTTTTGACATGTTTGGTTTTAGGTGCTTGGCCCACATGCAAATCACACTCGGAGGCAGGAGGCAGTTTTAGGTTGTTTATTTAAAGGAATAGTACACCCAAAACATGATTAGCCTTCATTTTCTACTCACCCCCATGCTGAACAACACTCTGGAGTACT